AGGTGTACCACATAATGACTTGATATGTATATTGGGAAATGATGACCCTCTATAAGTCTAGTTAACAACTGTCTCCATACATCGTCATGAAATTTTATATTTTCTTTGGTGAGCACTTCGAGGGTGTGTAATCTCTTAGCAAGTGCTTATTTTTTAAATCTTTATCTCAGGTGACTTGGAATATTTCCTTAGTCATTACACAGTCAACATTTTATTTTGCATTTAAATGGGATGCTTTATATTTGAGAATTTTTAGAAAAGCTCTCTATCGAGCACGTACATAGTCTAGGCACAGTTGGGAATATGCAAAGCTACTACTATTATCGCTTCTAATTAGCTGGAGTAATAGTAGTGCTCCTGCAGATAGCTTAGGGCAGTGCTGGCTGTTTAATTTTTAGCCTATTTTAAACATAAGAGCAAGTTATTGTCTTGTGCTTTGGAAACCCTGGGGAGAGGCCCAACTATACAGGGCATGTGCATTTGGACATCACATAAGAGATGGTTGAAAATTGCAAGGAGGGGGGATGACCCAGGGATGGCAAGTGGAGGGGGACGGGCATCGGAACCCTGGCGGAAACGTTTTAAAAGACCAGCAGAGAGAAAAGGGCCACTGAGGAAGACTGGGGAGGAAGGTCAGAAAGGAGGGAGGATGAGCAGAGGCATGCAAGGCCAGGAAGTTCCCAGGAGGGCAGAGCATCCAGGACTCAAGGTCAAGAACGTGCATGACTTGCAGTGCTGGAGAATGGGAGGACTGGTTCCTCGGTGCATTGAAGCACACATGAGAAATGAGGCAGCGTCGGGAGCAGTGGGATTCCTTCCAGAATTCTGAATGAATACAGAAGAAGAGAAAGGGAACAGACAGCACCACAGAGTCCAAAACTGGTTTTCAGGGGTGAGAGAGATTCCACGTGGAGCCGAGGAGTTTTGTGTCTTCCATACTCTCAGGGACTGCTCCCAGAGTGTCCCTCGACATGTTTCTCTGCTCTTTGTAGTTCTGTAAGTTGGTAGTTAGATTTAGAGGCTTGAGCAGGGTCAGACTGGGTTGGGTTATTTGGGGAAGGCTACTATTTTCAAAGTGGCATCGTAGAGACATGAATTTTTTTTTTTTTTGTGAATTTGCAGATATTGATGATCATTTCCTGGAACGATGAACTCATCTGGGCATTACGCATAATATTTCAAACACATTTCTCAATATGAGAGGTTTTATGGAGGTGAATATCCCCCTCCCCCAACTCAGTGGGTACACACCACATATTGACTGCAACGTGAAACTACAAATCAATTTTTTTATTCAAAAATTATTTCTTGATATCTCTGGTATATGCCAAGCACTATATAGAATGATGTATAAAGGTCTGTACAAAGGTCTGGGCCTATGAAGCTTCTAGTAAATGGACTCAGGGTTTTGGAAGTTGCTGAGCGATATTGCAGAGCTGCTCATACTGCATGCAGAGCCACTGTTTGGTGAGGATGGTGAAGGAGGACAGACTAGCAGCTGGAGATGTGATGGTGGCCTGGGGCATATGGCATGATGCACAAGTGTCCCAGGAATGTGTGGGGTACCTAGGCATTGAGTGGTGCTTGGAAGCACTGAGATAATTTTTAAAAACCATCTCTTATTGTGTCAGAAAACTCCTATACAAAGTATAGAGAATTTCATTGTATTATCCTGTAATAAAATCATGTAAAAACGTGCAAATTTATCAGAACAAAATCCTGCATGCAGATAGCACCCAGTGTTGGTGAGGATGTGAAGTAACAGGAAGTCTCTTTCATTGCTGGTGGGCATGTAAAATGCTGTGGCTTGCCAGTTTCTTACACAATTAAATATACTCTTGCCCCACAATGCAGCAATCATACTTCTTGATCTATGCCCAAAGGAACTAAGAACTCTTGTCCACACAAAATCTTGCACATGGCTTATTCATAATTGCCAACACTTGGAAGCAACTAGCACATCCTTCAGTAGGTGAATGGGTAAATAAACTGTGGTCTGTTCAGACAATGGAATGTTATTCAACACTAAAAAGGTATGAGCTACCAGATGGGGAAAACACATGGGGGAAACTTAAGTGCTCGTTACCGTGTGAAAGAAGCCATTCTGAAAAGGCTACATACCATATGATTCCAATGGTATGACATTCTGGGAAAGGCGCAAGTATGGAGGCAGTGAGAAGATCAGTGGTTGCCAAGGGTTGAGGGGAGGGACGGATGAATAGGAGGACCACGGAGGATTTTTAGGGCAGCATGTGACACAACGGTGGATATGTGTCCTTACATATTTGTCCACATTCTTAGAATGTACATGGAAAGTGGACTCTAATGTAAACTATGGGCTTTGGGTGATTGCAACGTGACAATATAGGTCCTACTTGATAAAAAAATATATCGCGTGATGGAGGATGTTGATAGGGAGGAGGGTCTGTGTAGGAGGAAGGAGGAAATATGTGGGAAATCTCTGTACCTTCCTCTCAATTTTGTTGTCAACCAAGATTGCTCTAAAAAATAGTCTTTTAAACAAAACGCAACACAGTCTACTCTATGTTTGTGCTGAGAATTAATATATCACTAAATAGAAACACAAACTTAACTGCTTATTATTTTCATTTCTATTTTTAGGGTTCTCATCAACCTTTTTCTTCCCTATCGACCACAGCACTTTGATCCCTATTTATGAAGATGCACTTTCCAACTCTAAGGACTCCAAGGGTCCTGTCATGTGTGGGGTTTTCAGGTGGATGTTTTCAGGGTCATTTCCTGTCGCCTTACATGTGCCAGGTGTCATGAGCAAGCAGCAAGCAACGCACGAAGCCAGGCAGGCTCTGTAGAACTCCTCTGGGTCTCGGTTTTTATCTGACGCCAAGCAGCTCTTCTGTTCACCTGGAAAGGTTAACTGGGGACTGCTCTGGGCCTCAGAACCACCTGCCTCTGAGGGGGGGCCTGCTTCGTTCAGTCCAGTCCTATGTCTACTGACGGGTGGGTCTGGGTCCTTACCTAGAGGCTGGCTGTGCAAACTCCCCAGCTGGCTTGGGGGCCTCCCCACAAGGCCCAGAGACCTGGCTGGTCAGCACTGGAGACTGCCTTCATTGCTTTGTGGGCTAATGCAGACGTTCCTAAGAGAGGCCCTTCCTGTGCAGTCAAGTCAACATTATACGGGGTCACTTCCTGAGAACAGGTGTTGGTGACATAGGCAGATAAAGCTCCTGAGGTGGGTGGAGGGTTGCATCACAGAGGAAGACAACAAAACAGCAGGTGTGTCAGGCTGAAGACAAACATCGGAACCGTTCAGGGCTAGCCAGCCGCCCTGTGATTTCCGATGGTCCAGCACATCTTACACAAACATTTGTTTTGTTTTTGTTTTTGTCTTTTTCCTTTCTTTTATTTCCTTCTATTTTCCCAGCATGGTGTACTTGTATCTGATTTAGCCTTTCATTTATATTGTCTCTCATTTCTTTCTCTCGTATCTTCCCTTCCCTGTCTTAATTTTAATTTCTTTTTTTTAAATTTTTATTTATTTATTTATGATAGTCACACACACACAGAGAGAGAGAGGCAGAGACACAGGCAGAGGGAGAAGCAGGCTCCATGCACCGGGAGCCCGACGTGGGATTCGATCCCGGGTCTCCAGGATTGCGCCCTGGGCCAAAGGCAGGCGCCAAACCGCTGCGCCACCCAGGGATCCCCTTAATTTTAATTTCTTACTTGTTTTTTGTAAACTTTTATTGTCTTATTTTTTCCATTTCTTAAGAATTTTCCCCTTAAAAAAAAAAAAAAGAATTTTCCCCTTTTTCTCTTCCCCTCCCTCTCCCCGTTCTTCTTTTGGCTTTTTTTTTTTTTTTTAAGATTTTATTTATTTGAGAGAGTGAGCACAGAGCACAGGAGTAGGGGGAGGGACAGAGGGAGAAGCATACTCCCTGCTGAGCAGGGAGCCTGATGCGGGGCTCCATCCCAGGACCTCGAGATCATGACCTGAGCTGATGGCAGCTGCTTAATTCACTGAGCCACCCAGGCACACCGTTGGCTTTTTTTTTTTAAGAGGTAAAATGCTTCCTGTGTGCTTGTTAAGTGGGTAAAGTGTTAACTTCGATAATAGTAGTATGATTACAAATTGAAAAACTAGAGTGCTGTGGTTTTTTTCTCTTTTCAACAACATTTTGACACATGAAATCACTTGTCAAAGAAAAGAAGCTAGTTTTTGGTGGAGATGAAACTATTATAGACTTAGTTTTCCAGATTAATATAGACAGCAAACCTGACTGTGTTTGTTCTTCTTTCAAGTGTGGTTTCTCCTCTCTTCTCCTGTCCCCTCTACTCTTGTTTTTTCTTTTTTAATTTGAATTCAGGAAAATGGCCCAGAACGATGTGGTGGTTATTTACAGTGTGCTCTGTGCTGGGTATTTCAGCTATGGTGGTAGGAAGGTGGGAAGATATTGAACGACTTTGTTGGTACCTCGGGATTTAAATCTCATGTGAAGCCCTACTCTATGTATGCATAAGACAACCTGTATATCTGGAAAATAAGTTTATGTATGCATTTATTCAAATGAAAATGATTTGATATCTCTTCAATAATCATTAAAATTTTAGCATGATCACAATCTGGATACAATCTTTGAGTCATCAGCCCAACATTACTAAAGAGTAGTCTTGTGAAAAAAAAAAAAAAAAGAATAGTCTTGTGAAATTCAGCCTCTTGATAAGATCATTACCAAGAAAAGTACCAGGAGTTTTGATTACATTTCTTGTTATATGGTTAACCATGTCAAAAAACCTCAAGGAAATATGTGTGAACAAGTATATCGTCCTTTCTATTTATTCATTAGCCTTTTCCAAAGGTCCTTTCCTTACAAAAATGTGTCATAAAGGTGGCATTTACAGTTGATGCAACTATGTTAAATAGGATCACCAATACTTTTGATAGAACTTTATGGGTAGCTTCCACCCTTGCACCCCAAAATTTTAGGCCCTACATGTAATCATTTGCTTCTTGTTTTCAGATAGTTTTGAGATAGCTGCACCATCAAATAGGCACATAGTATCCGAACCTGGAAAAAATGTCACGCTCACCTGTCAGCCTGCCGGGAAGTGGCCAGTACAACAAGTTACATGGGAAAAGATCCAGCCCCATCAGATTGACATCTTGACTATCTGCAACTTGTCCCAAGGGAAGAGTTATGCTTCAAAGTACCAAAGAGAGATATGGAGCAGCTGTAGTCAGGACATGAGAAGCACCTTCATCATCATGCCCCATGTTATGGCCTCTGACTCCGGACTTTACCGCTGTTGTTTCAAGGCCAGCACAGGAGACAACGAAACATTTGTGATGAGGTTGACTGTTACCGATGGTGAGTACAATAGTGAGTACGTTATGGGTCTTCAAGTGTTCAAAATGGATAAGGCCAACCACATGGGTTGGTTTCTGTTGTCTTTTTCATGACTCTGGTATTCAAAATAGTTTTTAACAATGGAGTTTAGGTAAGTTGTTGGTTATTGACTGTTAGTATTTGGTTTTTCTTTATCTTGCTAATCCATCAGTCACAGATTTAACAGTTATAGAACTTTCCTGTTTCTTGATCTGCCACATTCCTGAAATTAAAAAAAAAATCGGTAAGTCTAAAAATACATAGTATCTATAGCCTGTAAGTTTCAGTTGCATAACTTCTATTTGTTCTCCACTACTTTGCAACTTCGTGAGGGTAGTGACTGTTTTATGATCCTCAAGTATCCTCAGCAATAACAAAACGGTGCTGGATTGGTATTTGCTGAGTTAGTGTTGAGCAGAGTGGAAGTTTAGAAATATTTGATAATGTTGCTCCTTTGTCACCTCAGAGCTTTGATCCCTTCAATTGTTTTTGGCCCTGGGAGCAGAAACAGATTGGCCTTCCCGGCCTCTCAACCTGAGCAGGCTCCCCCCAAAGCCCAGCACTAATTTTGTATTAGTAATTTGTTTCCTGTGTCATAATGAAGCCCTGATTGCGTGAGCTGCAGGACCCACAGAACGTGTGTGAGGATAAGAAAAAGCGACTTTTCACCTCCTGGAATGCAAGTGTGAAGAAGCCTAGATAGTGTGTGCAGGGGTCTCCAGTAGGACCAAGTGAGAGGAAGGCCATCTCAGGCTCTCCCACTTCTGCCTCTGGGCAAGTTTTCTCATAGCAGGAGAACATGTCAGAAGAATAATTTTTGCTGGTGACAGAAATTATATTAATTTTTTCCTTCCTTCCTTCCTTCCTTCCTTCCTTCCTTCCTTCCTTCCTTCCTTCCTTCCTTCTTTCCATCCACTTCTCTCTCTCACCCTTTCTTTCACCTGCCTTCAGCCAGCAATGGGCCTTGGCCTGTGTGTAGACTTCTAGAACTAAGGTTTCTTGGCATTTGGTTGTTCCTCTATAGACTCTGCTTGTATTGGAGGCTGATGTCTATTCCTGCATTGCAAAGGAAGAACAGGGTTTGTGTCTGGGGCAGCTGTGTGTGCTAAGGAGGACATTGGCAAAGGGCAGCACTTTCTTATACATCATCTCCTTGGACCACATCGAGCCTTCTTTGCTTCTTGTATGGCAGTGCGGGCTGTGGGTGAGACCAAAATTGTTCTGAGAACTTGATGTGAAGGAGGGGTAATGGAATATGTGGGGGAGAAAAATTCATAAAGTTTCTTCATTTTAAGTGTTGACTCCATTCCTTCAGATGTTTATACAAAATATTTTGTACCTTAAAAACAAAACCTTTGCATTACAGAAATGTTTTTTTAAAACTGGCCAGGAAAAAAAAAAGTCATCAATCCTCTCTCAGAGACAAAGGCAAAGAAAATTTCTCTTCAGAAAAATATCATAAAGACACTTGATGGGATGAGCACTGGTTGTTATTCTGTATGTTGGTAAATTGAACACCAATAAAAATTAATTTATTAAAAAAAAGAAAAATATCATAAAGAACCTTTTCAAACACATATGAAATATGTTCTTTTCTATTATATGTTGAAAAATTAATTATAAATGTCTTAAATCATAAAAAGGAGGTAATAGGTTTTTAAGAGGTATAGTTATTTGACTCTTACCAATTAATAAAAATGTCTTTCACTTTAGACATGACTAAATTTCCTGCAAAAAACTATAGCATAAGCTGCAAACAATGTGAAGGTGATTGAATGTAATGGTCAATATTATTAGTGCCCATGTGTTTGAACACTTGCAAAATGGCTTTTTGACATTCAATTGGCAGGTTAAGAGAATATCAACAGAGCTTATTAGTAAAAAGTTATAATTGATGGAAAATGCCCAGCTGTTGGTTCTGTGTTCTGTTCTGGTTCAATTCCTCTTAAAAATAAATGTAAGTAAAGATTGAAAATAAAAAAGTCAGATGGAAAGCAGAAATAGATTACTTGCGTTTGCTCTGATGTGATTTGATTATTTCAAGTCTTGAAGCTGTTTGGTCAAAAATCAATGTAGGGATTAAAGCAGAGAGACAGGTATAAGATGTGGAGCAGATTTAATTTATTTCAACTGTCAAGGGAAAGGTGATTGTGACACAAATTTTATAAACTGCTGTGCGTCCTTTTGTTGGCTCTCATCAACTTCTTGTATAGGATCCAAAGGAGAGATTTTCATGACTGTCATATTCTACACACACACAGGGCTCTTCCCTGTGCTTGTGTTCATTTCCAGACAAGTACCAGGTCCTCAGAGGTTACCCAAAAGATGACACAATGCCAACCAGCATGCCGTATATCCAGTTCCTGACATATTTTGAACAGAGTGAGAAAGGTGGCAAAAGCATGGGTTGAAACTGAATTTCCTATGAACTATCTTGCCTGAGGGAAAGACATTTGTCTCTTGTCCTATGCACTTTGGACCTGGGAAGTAGTTTGAAATAGCTCCAGACTGACTTTTCTGAATTTGAAATCTGTCTAGACCACAGAGGCAAGAAACAGCGAGGGGGGAAATGTGTGTATATTGGCAGTGACCAAGATTATTCTTTGGCCCTTCACATCCTCTAGATTGTCATCAGTTGTGAGGAAAGCATTTTAGTTTCCACCAAAAGACTTTGTGAAGCCTTTTAGTATTAACTAAATTATGTCAAGACTACTATTGTTTCAACTGAGCTTATTGATTATGAAAAGGATGAGGATCAAAGAAATAAAATTAGCTCTCTCAGAAAGTTTCCAGGGGAGACTAGTTGTGAGCAAACTTCTGTCTGCCACCGTGAACAGTATTGGTCCTCATGTCCTATCTCATCTTCTGCCACTGATGAGGCCACTCAGCTGAACCACCGAATTCTGACTGATGATTGGAGCAGAGGAAAGAGACAGAGCATGAGAAGTAATACAAAATATGCACGGGGTCGGGGGAGGAGAGAGAAGGAAGTTGTGTGTGGGTGACTGCAATCAAATGACTAGGTTGGTACAGAGATTTTTGAGTTATGGCTTAATATAAAGGAAGGGAGGTTCGGTTAGGCAATGACTTGGTAGCAATTCTGGATCTCATGCAAGAGCATGAAAGCCACTATTGATTCTTGGCCAAAATGGCAAAATGGTATTCGAGGAAGTGTCAGGGAAATTGTTGGGTACTGAAGCAAAAAGAGAAATTTGAGACACAAGAAACTAGCCACGAGTCATTTGTAATAGTGCATGAATGCTTGAGCGCTCCTACTAGGCTGTTGCTATCACATACTAGATTTTTGGGCACAAAACAGAGCCCACTCCAGACAGACAGATTTCAAATGGTGCTTCCACCAGGCAGGCAAAACAGAAAAAGATGCCTCTTCCTCTGGGATGCTGCAGACTCCAAAGCTTGTGTGCAGACTTGGTGGGGGGTGGTGCCCAGGCTCCTCACCCACCTTGGCTGGCACCAAGGTGGCCTGGCCAAGGGCGGAGAGAGGTTAATGTGATTGGAATGTCAGCTTGTGCTTGCATTGGCCTCGTCAGTCACTCACACTTTCTTACTTTCTCCTCTTCCCAACCAACCTAATAATTTTCATGCCATTTACCTTCTTTCCTTTAGAGTTTCCATCAGATCTCCTCCATCTTCATGATTTTCCTCATTAGCCCAAACTGCTTGCCTTCCATAAAGCTACCAAACATTTTGAATTTCTCAAACTTTTGTAACTTGAAATACATACCCTTGCATCACTGAATAATTGCATGTTTGCAATGGTCCAGACACTTATGTTAGAAATTTCTTGGGGTGACTGGGTGGCTCAGTTGGTTAAGTGTCTGCCTTCAGCTCAGGTCATGATCTCAGGGTTCTGGGATAAAGCCTCATGTAGGGTTTCCTGCTCAGCAGGGGAGCTTGCTTCTCCCTCTGCTCCTCACCCTGCTTGTGCTTGCTCTCTCTCTTAAATAATAAATAAATAAATAAATAAATAAATAAATAAATAAATAAATAAAATTTTTAGGAAGTTTCTTGATTGTGATTGGTGATTGGTGATTATGGCATCTTTGCTTAGGGTTGTCAAAATATCTTTCCAGAATGTTCTCAATATGTGTTCTTGACTGATTCTTTGTATTTTAATATTTTTATATGTTCTGGTATATTTCTATGTTTTACTTATATTCTAGAATGTGTCCATTTTATTTTCATATTTTCTAGCTAGATTATTTCTAGATTTTCTTCATCAGCATTTAATATTTGAGGTTTAAGGATTGCTGATCAAAGAAACCTAAACTCCGAGGAGATCAGTTGGAATGTTTTGGGAGAAAACTTTCATGAATTTTGTTTACATTTATAGCTTTCAAGAAGGCCTATTTCTTTTCTTAACTTTATTTTTCTTGTTTTGCATGTTTTGTATAAATGGTGATAATTGCAAGTCACTGGACCTGGTGGATGGGGTTTGTAAGTGAGAATAACAGAAGTATTCACTAGGAGATCATAGGGCTCCAGTGAAGGGAGTCAGCCCAGATGTTTCTTCTGTGACGTATAGGGTTAACAAACAAGTAGGAGCATAGAGGAATAGTGTGCTATAGGTTGCAAATCCTGTCTTTACATGGCTTGTTGGAGGTTGACTTTGGGACTCTGTTCCGGAGTTGAACTAGAAGACCATGGAAGTAGAGAAATGAACTTTGTTTATTTCTTTGGTGTTCAGTTTCCACTAAAATGCAACTAGTTTGCTCCCAGGTGATTTGAATTCCCAAACAGTTTTGGATATAGACAAGATAATTTTTTTCTTTTAGGGATCCACTTATCTAGAACCTTCTTTCCCAGCCTTATGAATTTATGATAGATGTGAATATTGAAGGCATGGGGGTTGTCTGAGCTGGTATCTGCTGCAATGTCAGATATGTCTATTTCCACAATGTAGTGTGATGAACTTCTACTTTTTAATATCTTCATCTACAGAGAAAAGTAATGTTCCTGAC